TTTGAACCGCCAGCCTTCTGGTTAGCAGTCAAGTGCCTTAGCCACTATGCTACCAGAACTCCTTATTATGTCTCAAGAAAAACAAACAAAACTCACTGCCATTTTGTTGATTCTGACTCATAGTGACCCCATTGGGTTTCTGAGATGGTAAATCTTTAGGGAAGTAGATTGCCCAGTCTTCCTTCTGTGGAGTGGCTGGTGGGTTTGAACTGGCAACCTTCTGCTTAGCAGTCAAATGCCTTAGGCACTATGCCACCAGAGCTCCTTTCTTATGTCTAATGCAAAAATGCAACCACTGTCGTGGAGTTGGATCCAACTCATAGTGAACCCTCCTTGGGTTTTCAAGGCTGTATCACTACAGAAATAGATTGCTCAACCTTCTTTCTGAGGAGAGGCTGGGGGATTTGAACCGCCAGCCTTCTGGTTAGCAATCAAATGCCTTAGGCACTCTGCCACTAGAGCTCCTTTCTTGTGTCTAGTAGTTCCTAAATGCCCATTTATGGGCCAGCTCCACAAGAATCAGTTGGAAAACTGATTAAAAACACCAAACCCAGATGTCACTCCCAGAGATCATGATTCAGTAGGCCTGGGTGGTACACAATAATTTGTGTATATATGTATATGTAGTTTGAGATTTCCAGCTATTGGGCAGCTAACTTTGGGGACCTTTGTGAGACATAACAAGGAACCATTGAGGGACTTTGAGCAGGGTGTGACATGACCCATGACTCTGCACTAGTGTTCCATAGAGGGTGGATTTTAAGAAATTGGTAGCAGCACTCAATGTTTGTCTCTCCTTGGTTCCTACATATGAACATGTGTGTCTCACAGAGTGAAATAGATCCTGGGACCAGTGGAGGAGTTTTCCCATAACCCTGGAATGGCAATCTTTGGGTTTGCCAAAGAGCATCCATTCTTTAATCACCTGTGACAAACAGTCGGGAGTGGCAGAAAGAACATTGTTACTAAAATTCTATGTGATCTTAGACCAATTCTTTATGTTTCTGAGCTCCAATAGAATGAAGGGACTTGAACTAGGATGAAGCCTTGAAACTTGTCCATGAAAGAAGAAGATAGATAGCATTCTCCCTGTTGTGATGATCAGAGAAGTGAGATGAATTGCTCAAGGTCCCACTCTTTGGTGGTAGATCCAAGCCTTTAAGTCTTTCTTCAGTAACACATTCCTTCCCTAGATCCAGTCCTGGAGAGGAGTCAGTCTGTGCTTTTCCCAATGCCAGTCATGTCAGATTTTATGTTATGTGCTCAGTTGCTCAAACTGCTATTCTAGAGATTCTTACTCTCTCCAGTAAAAGACAGACCTAGGCATTTCCCTCCCCAGATTAACCTTATTGGCAGCATGGCTCTGACTCTAGCCTCTGTCCCTTGTAGGAGAGAAGGAGATGGCAGCTGAGTTGGAAGAACTATATGGTGATATCGATGCCATGGAGTTCTATCCGGGGCTGCTTCTTGAGAAGTGCCATCCAAACTCCATCTTTGGGGAGAGTATGATACAAATTGGGTCGCCTTTTTCCCTCAAGGGCCTCCTGGGGAATCCCATCTGTTCTCCGGAGTACTGGAAGCCCAGCACATTTGGCGGCGAGACAGGTTTCAACATTGTCAAGACTGCCACACTGAAGAAGCTGGTCTGCCTCAACACCAAAACTTGTCCCTATGTTTCCTTCCATGTACCCGACCCCAGCAAGGATGACTGGCCCAGTGTGGAGCGGCCATCCACAGAGCTCTAAGTGGATGAAGCAGCAGCATTCTGGAGGATGGAGTTTTGTGCTCATTATTCCAGAATGCTGAGGCCAGAGTTGATAGTCTTAAATATTGGGTTTCTAGTTTGGCATTGGGACTGTTGGAGTTGACATTTAGAACTGTGAATCCCTCACCGATTATCTGGAATGTGGTGGTCTCATTTGTAGTTCTAGAATGCCGAGTTCCTGGTTAATCATCCAGAGTGTTAAGAGTGGTTCTCATTTGGCATGTCAGCGTACTGAGTTCCTGACTGGTAATCTAGAATGTCAGATTTCTGGTTGATTTGGAATATTGCCATTTTAGAATGTCAAGCTCCTGATTAAATCATCTAGAAAGTTAGGGGGTTCTTATTTTGTGTTCTAGAATTGTGGTTATTGACTTTATGATTGGTGATCCAGAAAGTTGTGTTCCTGGTTGATGATCCAGAACACTGGCTAGTATGCAAGAGCAGTCCTGATCTGAATGTCTTGAATGTTGATTTGATCCATTTTCCTGTTCAATGAGATGTCCATAGAGCAGGAGAATCTAATGTCCAGCAAGAATGCATTGCCTGAACCTGTGTCTGCACCAAGGGGGCAAGAAGGTTGGGTGTTTTACTTGGAACCCCAACTTAGACCCTGATCCAAGGATGTAGAGAGAATAGTTGAGCCCCTTCCGTGCCTTTGTTTGGAAACTCCCAGGGCTTGGTCCCCATCCAGGTCTTGAGTCATGGCATCTGTTTCTCATGAGGCCAATAAAATTCTTTTTCCAAAGTTGCATGCTATGTATCTCTTTTGATCCCATCTTCAGAAGCAGTGGCAACATGAAAGTGGCCCAGCCACAAGCTACGTGTGATAGAGATTGCGGTATGAAATTTTCTAGTGGAATCCCTTGGGGTCTCTCACTGTCATTGTGTATGTGTTCCATTTTTGGTGCTTTTATTTCTCCTATGGCTTTGGCTTTACGTTTTCCAGGTTACTCTCCTATAATCTATACAATGTCCCAGCCCCAGGAGATATAGCATTAAGTTTCCACCACCTTCCTTTACATAGAGTACAACAGAGATAAGGGGCATCTGGGGAGGAGAGTACTTATTGTGTGCTAATGTCACACTTTAGTTTTCATTTATTCTTGCACCAATAGTATGAGATATGTCGTGTACCCCCATTTTAAAACAGTGACAACCAAGACTCAGAGTGGTTACACAACATGCCCACAGGTCCCAGAGCCAAGCCTGGAACCCAGGTCTGTCTGAGTCTAGATGTTGTACTGTTTGACCTGGTCATGTTTCCCTGGTTTCCTGATGTGACTCAGTCAAAGCTTATCTTGCTTGTCTGGCCCAGGGTCAAAGACAGAGAATGGGGTGAAACTAGGTACCTCTCGTTTTACCTGTATGCTATTCATTCAGTGGGAGCTCTGGTAGCATAGTGCCTAAAGCAATTGACTGCTAACCAGAAGCCTGGTGGTTCAAACCCACCAGCCACTCCTCAGAAGGAAGATGGGGCAATCTATTTCCCTAGTGATACTGCCTTGGAAATCCAAGGGGGGGTCGCTATGAGTCGGGTCCAACTTGACGGCACATAACAACAACAACAACATTCATTCAGTCACAAATAATTATTTTCCAAAGTGCTTGCTATATGCCAGATACTGCTATAGGTTTGGGGATATAGCAGTGAGTGATCAAGATAGATAAGGCTTCTGCCCTTAGGGAGCTCACATTGCAGTGGTGGTAGAATGGACAATAGACAAGAAAGCATTAAAGAAGGTAAGTACAGGGTGAGTGTGACCTTTTCCTCTGTCCCCTCTGGTCTGTCCTCTCCTACTTCAGTGTGGGGCCCTGATATGGAGCAGCAGTGATCCTAGGGTATACATCCCCTTTCCCCATCAGTCTCTGTCCTGAACCTCCTTCCCCAGCCACACAGACCCCTGTGGCCAAGAAAGAGAAAGGAGAAGACAGAAGGATAAGTTAAGAGTCTAGGGGGAAAGAGGAAATGTCCCTTGTGTGCCACCCTTATCCTCAGAAAGAATGATAGACCACCACAACAAGGGAAATGGGGTCTCTGGGGTTGGGCCTTCTGTTTTACAGTCCAACAAGCCATTGTTTCCTCCTTGGTTGGGTGAGAACTGTTCCCACCATCCTCTCAGGACCCTGTTGAGTGCAGAGAGCACAGTCCTTCTGAGCTTCGCAGCTGCTCTGATGAGAAGAATTTTTGAGGGTGCTGGAAGTAGACAAGAAGTGGCTGTGTCCTGCCCTCGCTTACCTACTATTTATTCCCCCTCTTCTACTAACATCCCTACTTTGCCTGAGAGTCCTCCATCCTGAATTGTTTTCAGTCTTGGTGGTTCTGTCAATGGCACTATCCCGGCCAAGGAGGTCGGCCTGTGACTCAATCTCAGCCAGTGAGATACTTTCCTTGTCATTGGCACCTGAGTAGAGTTACATGGAGACTGAAGATGGCCGGTGCTGATTCATCCCCAATACGGGCTCTGAAAAGACTGTCCTTTGGTTTCTGCTTCCAAGATCCGCAGGACAGCCTCGATTCCTGATCTTCTCAAAATCTTTGTTTTTCGTTTCATCCTGGGGCTGCTTCAGAAATTCCTCTTTTGCTTAAATCGGAGTTGATGTCTTCTACTTGCAACTAAACCCTAATAGCTACAGGCAGGAGACTGTTCCCTAAGGGGACAGAGGCACCACAAAGGCGCAGGAGGAAGTTTTTATTAGAGGAGACACAATCAGATGAGTGTTTTAGAAGGAGTGCCCTCAGGTAGGTGGACAACAGCAGGAAGGACTGGAGCCTGGCACAACAGTGAGGAGGCCGCTGCCATGGTCCAGCTGAGAGATGGTGGCAGCTGGGGCCAAAGAAAAAGCTGAGTGGATGGGAGAATGGGAGAGATTCCAGGGACGTTTCCCTCTCAAATGCAGCTGCCTGGGTTAGGTGGAACTTGCTTTGTATGAAAAACTGTGTATGATACTTTTGCAAACTGAAACTTAGGTCAAATGCACCAAGGAGGCTTTTTCAGAGTGAGTGATCTTAATGCTTATAAAATGAATGCTCCTTCCTGGAGCTTTGACCCGGTGGGTGATTTAATCAGAGCTCTTAGTGCAAATGACAGACCCATACTAGGCAGTTAAACATGAAGAAATTTGTGAGAGGACATTTTGTAGCTCAGGGAACCATTGGGAGAATTAGGCTTGGAGGCCTCTCTCACCAATCCAGTGGAGATACTTCCTTCTGCCCCTGCCACTGCGTACTAGCATCAGAGATTACGGCTCTGCTGCCAAAATCCCACTGCTGCTCTCCAAGAGCTGGCCAGAAAATGGATTCTGTGTGGTGTCTGCTTCCTCATTTTGCTCTACTCAGAATTAAGTAATCTTAATTCACTTGTGATGGATGGAGGCTAGTACATATGTCTGTACTCTAGACTCAAGGGAGGGTGGGAATAAGTGAGTTTTCTAGCTTGTACCTTGGGGAGGAGAGACCCATGACATGGGAAATTCTACATATCTAAGAAGGATGTTCGGGAAAAGTCTATCTCAGTGGATCTGAGTTTTCTTAGTTCTGCTTTGACTCTGTGGGTGCTATTCTTAGAATATCCGAGAACATCACAAGGGCACCACAGTTGATCTGGTAGCAGTTAAATATAATTGCAAAGAATTTAAGTGAAATTGCAGAAGTACAGAAGAGAAGAGCAAAAACGTGAAGGACTTTAGAGTACATACAGTACAATCTTCTGATCATGTTTGAGTAAAAAGTGTCCAAAAACATCAGGCATGCCAATAACCCAGTTTTTAATGATTGATTATACTTTTCCTATAAAAAAGTACTTTTAAATTACAATAACTGTGTGAATGGCACTAAAGGACACTAAGCCTTAACAGGCCCATTTATAGAGCACTGCTAAGGAAACTACAGGGAAACATTTCCCCCACTGTCTTACCTGGTATTCATGTTTAATTTACAGTTGATTTCCCCCCAGGCTTGGTCAAAATACTTCTTTACTCTTAATCTTTACACTTTACATCAAAAGGGCTTTTGAGATATTTGCACAATTTTGGGTTTGACATTTTGAGTTTTAGGATAATGGGGCAGCGTATCCTTGAAGATGTCTATGGCAGGCCTTCTGCTGTTCCCCTCCCTTGCCCCATTGGAGTATAACATACACACAATAGTAAAGTGCATTGATCTTTTTTTATTTTTAAATTGTGGTAAATATATATATATTTGTTTTCCTTTTCAACATTTTTTATATGTACAATTTAACGCCATTAATTATGTTTATTATGTTGTGCAAGCACCACCATTATGTGCTTCCAAACTTTTCCATCACCCCTAACAGAAGCTCAGTGTCCCCTAAGCAGTGAATCTCTCTTTCCTCCTCCCTCTCACTCCTGGTAAGCATGAATAAATCCTGGTCTCTATATGCTTGCCTGTTTTAGATATTTCGTGTAAGTGTGATCATACAATCATAAAAATTTACCATTTGTCTTTTTGTGACTGACTTATTTCACTTCAAATATTGTTTGCAAGGTTCATCATGGTGTAGCGTGTATCAGGGCTTCTTTGTTGAGTCATATTCTATTGTGTGTATGGACCACATTTTGTTTATCGATTCATCTGGTGATGGACATTTAGTTCATTTCCACTAAAGTGCACAGTTCAGTGAATTTTTATATATGTATAAGTACAAATAACCAGCAAACAAACCAAGATATAGAACATTTCCAGAACTCTAGAAGGTTTTCATGTGCCCCTTCTCAGCCAATAGCTCTCCAAAGGTAACCACTATTCTGACTTCTATCACCACTGATTAGCTTTGCCTGCTCATGAACGTCGTACAAACGGAGTCATATGTGTTGGGTATGTATTGTGTCTGGCTTCTTTTGCTCAGCGTAATGCCTCTTGACATCCAAGAGACAACAACCACAGTTGATTTATCTAATCTACTGCTGATGGATATATGGGCTGTTTCCATTTTATGGCTGTTATGAATAAAAAGTCGCCTC